AATGTATTGCTATTATATTTTTATATCCACATTTTAAAGTTATTTTAACATATCTACATAAATATATTTTATCATCACGATCATATATTACTATATAATATTTACTTATATTGATTTCTTGATTGCTAAAAAAATTGACACTGAGTGTAAAAATCCTACTCAAAACCTCCTGTTTTTCCTGAGTCTGGAAGGATTGAAGGGAATATGGGAAAGTATTACTATAACTCAAATCTGCTCTTTTATTTGGCTGTATTAGAGGGAGTTCAGCTTTATAATGTATCCTCCTAGCTTTTAGGTTCACCTATTTTACCTCATCTCTGTTTCCTACTTAGGATTCAGTACTGCACCCAAGAAATGATTATCTTTCGGGAGGATTTGGTGAACAAGATGTGCAGGAACTGTGTTCGTTTCCCCAGCAGCAACATGGACATTCCCAACCATGTGAGTGACATGTGCTCAGCATCTTTTGCCAGGGTTTGGGACTTTATTGCTCAGCAGGTTTGGATTTGGTGCTCTGATCCTCATCCTCATGATATGCTGCAGGACTAACCCTGAGAGACTGTAAGGAGGATCAGTATGTTTACTATTTTACCTTTCTTTACATTTGGGCAGTAAAGTAAGTCAAGTTGTGGCACTTTGAGATGATATTGAGTCATTTTGTTGTACTGTAGGTGCCCTTGGACACAGAACTTCATAGCAGCTGATGATGTGCACCAACCATCAGTGTCCTGCCATAAGCACTGATTCCTACAGGCAAAGTTTAATCCAAATTCATAGAATCACAGAATCAACCAGGTTGGAAAAGACCTCTAAGATCATCAAGTCCACCCCTCCCCTGGTTACTAGACCATGGCACTAAGTGCCACATCCAGTCTCATCTTGAAAACCTCCAGGGATGGTGAATCCACCACCTCCCCGGGCAGCACATTCCAATGTCTGATCACTCTCTCTGTAAAAAATCTCTTCCTAATATCCAACCTATCCCTCCCCTGGCAGAGCTTGAGTCTGTGCCCTCTTGTCCTGCTGCTGGTTGCCTGGGAGAAGAGACCAACCCCCACCTGACTCCAACCTCCTGTCAGGGAGTTGCAGAGGGTGATCAGATCTCCCCTGAGCCTCCTCTTCTCCAGGCTGAACACCCCCAGCTCCCTCAGCCTCTCCTCATGCCACTTGTGCTCGAGTCCCTTCACCAACCTAGTTTTTACTCACTCACCCAGTGCCATTGGCAGTAAAGCAGCAGGTCACCTTTCCAAAGGCTCATCTGCTTCTTCTGCCTTCTCACTTGAAGGCTTAGTCCTGCTTTTTATACACCACCACAGTGCTCTGAGTTGGTTGCAGTTAATGAATCCATCTGGGAACTGATGGGATTTAGTGATCTAATTGGATGAGAACAATCCAGGTAGCACTGGCTCATTGCAGTGATGGAAGGAGTCTGGTTTTATTAATTTTGCAGGGTTTTATCTTGTTTGCTTGACTCAGAAACTTCTTTTAGCTCTTTCTTCCTTCCCATCAGTGGTCAGTTTCTGTGTGAACCCTCTGTGGACAGTGCTGTACCTTGATTTTGTACATCTCCACATCTGCATTCCTGAAACCAGCACTTCCCTGTACTTCTTCTCCAGGAAAGAAATGTAGAATCATGTATTGAGTATTTTAATTCATATTTTAAAATTCATATTTAAAATTAATTTAATTCATATTTTAGATTATTTTTAATTATTAATGTTAATTTTTATTTTTGATTGATCGTTTTAGTTCATCTTTTAAATTTGTAGTTTTTACTTCAGACATCAGTGTAAAAAAAAATGAATGAGGGAGGGAAATTTTGTAACTAAGAAAAGAATCAAAATCATTTGGGAATGAACTAATTTCCTCAGTTCAGGAGAAAAACTGCATTTAAGGTCTTGTGGGTAACTGGTGCTGTGAGGAAAGTCAAGAGGGGAAAAAAAGCCCCCAGGAAAGGAAAGTGATGGCAATGTTTGTACTTCCTGGGCTGGAGGAATAGGTAAGTGCAGAATCTGATTGATGAAATAGTTTGGAGATCTTCAAAACAGGAAAGTTATGGCAATGTTGGTACTTGAAATGGTTTTCTCAGTTCAGGGGAAAGACTCTGGCTAAGTCTTTGGTCTTGTGGGTAACTTGTGCAGTGAGGAAGGTGCTGAGGGGAAAATAAGCCCCCAAAAAGGAAAGTGATGGCAGCATTGGTACTCCGTGGGCTGGAGGCACAGGTAACTAGATTCTGTCGGAGTCTGATGGATGTAATAATTTTATGTCTTCAAATCTTGGCTGATAAGCTTTAGAAAGGAGTTTGTATATTACAAACCCCAAGAAATGAAAGAGCAGCTGTGAAGGAGTTGCCCTTTACTCTAGAAATCTTTAATAAATCAGAAGGAGTGAGATACAAAAACACATGACCATGTTCAAAGCCTCTTTATTAACAAATACATCTGCAGGAACAACTTGACTCCTAGAAAATGGTTCCAACTAAGTGTTTTTGTTTCTCTTGCAGTTCGTAAAGACAATATTATCCCAAGCACACCTGAGCCCTCTCCCCCTGTATGTCAGCCCTGTGTACTGGGCCTATGACTACTCCCTCAGGGTCTATCCCGTGCCAGATGTGATGGTCATCGCTGACAAGTACGACCCCTTCACTGTCACCAACACTGACTGCCTCTGCATCAACCCAGTGAGGTTCCCCCCTGCTCCCTCACAGCTGGCCCTGCAGTCACACTGACTGTCTCAGACTGTTTTGGCAGTATTTCACTTACACAACATGGTTTATGTGTTTCTCTTGCCAGGGTTCGTTTCCACGGAGTGGATTTTCCTTCAAGGTGTTCTACCCCTCCAACAAGACAGTTGAGGACAGGTAAATATATTAACTTTCTCACATAAAGTGAAATATCTTACATGCTGACTTTGTAGTTATGAAGAGAAACACACAAAATTATGTAAATTAATGAAATCCAAAGAGTGGATGTTCTAGCAGTTCAACTTAAACTTATGCTCCATGTTTAGGCAGTGTTAAGAAATCCAAATGCCCAGAATTAAAGTAATAAATAGAAATTAAGTCTACGTATCAATGATGAGGAGCAGGATCTAACAGTAAAAGGAAATATAAACTGTACTATGTGATTTTCAGTTGCTGAGACCTGATTGGGAAACATATTTGTTTCTGGAGATGATGCTTGTTACAGAGGTTAATTACAATTTAGGAACAATTCTTGGTTCATTTTGTGATCATCTTCATAGAATCACAGAATTGTAGAGATGGTTTGGGTTGGAAGGACCTTAAAGCCCATCTTGTTCCACCCCCTGCCATGGGCAGAGACACCTTCCACTAGAAGGTTCTTCCACCTTCATGCTTTGATTTCCTATCTTTTCAATCTCTATTTATTCATTCCAACTGTGATCTTCCACTCACTGGAAAAAAAGTCCATCTGCAATACCAAAAATATCATCAAATAGCTTCCAACAGATGAAAATTTGCCTGTTTGAAATAATGATGGTAAAACCCATTAGGAAAAGCATAAATTTGTCTGATTGTTTCATGTCTTGTTGCAGAAGCCTTAAAAGGCAATTGGTAATAATCAACCCATGTAACATTTACTTCAATATAAAACCTATCTTAAATAGTTTAAAACATTATCAAGTCTTTCACAGATCAAGAAATAGAATTGTGAACTATCTTTATAATACCCATGCTAAATATTGTTTTTCTTTGGTATTTTCAGCAAGCTTCAAGGGCTCTGAGTTACTGCAAGACAGCAAAAAGGGAGTGAGTCTGTGTGAAGCCAACTGCAGCTCTTATGTTTTAAATGGCTTATTTTATTATGTATTAAAGTGTTTCTAATAAATGTCAAAGCCAAAAATGATGGGTTTTGTACACAAACTCTTACAGGAAAAGACACTGGTGTCAGTTTAGATAATGTGTAGAGGCAGGGTGAAGAATAATTGGCAAAGCATTAAAAAAGGCAACTGGAGGAAACAGTTGATGTGTATGAAACAGGAAGGGTCTGTCAAAAAAACTGAGTTAAAGACAGGGAGAACTTTGCCTTTCATTGTGCTGAGCTGAGCTAATAGTTGGTTATCTACGGGAGGTACTGGATATGTGGGGTAGGATTTTTCTTTGGATGGGAGAGGTCCAGAAAAGATTTGTGAGGTGTCTGATGGCAGTATGTAATCTGCAGATAGGGTTATACAGACAGAGCAAGGAAAGGTAAGAGGATTAAGGACATGGTCCTTGGGAACTTCTGGAGAAGGCAGGGAGGAAATCTTGCTGTAGGAGCAAGTCCAGAGCTGATCAGAAGACAGGAGCACCTTCTCTGCAAGGACAGGCTGAGAGCGTTGGGGCT